GATGAGCGACGGGAGAGGGAGGAAGACGAGAGACGCAGAGAGCGGGCGAGCGAAGTGATGGCTGGAAGAGGGCCGGACGAGAGACGACGCCGAGCGGTGAGTTTAGCGGAGGAGAGGAGAGAGAGAGAGAACCCGGAGAGCAGAGAGAGGGGAGAGAGAGACTTGATGTGTAGACGAGAGAGGAGAGAGAAAGAAGCAGAAACGAGAGAGAGATGAAGGAGGAGAGAGAGCAGGAGAGGATGAGAGAGCGAGAGAGAGAGAGAGAGAGAGAGAGAGAGAGGGTAAAGATACGATAACGGTTGACAAAATATGTCACGACACCACCCACGGTTTCAAACCGTCGTTGTATGTCCAGCTTGGACTGACCTTTGCCGGTTGTGTGGTCACTGCCAGGTCCAGTGTCTACGGAAGATGTCTGTCCGGTTCGCCGGGTCCACAGGAAATCGGCCGTGCGGTCGGGATACCAGCCGCAGAAATTCACGTCGAAATCACAGTCAATGTCTGCGATGATGAAAGCGCTTCGATCAATTTCGCGAATTTAAAAAATAATATGCAATTTGGATTTACGTGCGGTGTGTGAACATTCACGTTTAGACACAACGTTGAGTAGACGCTGCATCGTAAATACTTTTGTGATCGGAAATGCAACGGTTTCGCACAAGCATACTAAATTATTACGTATAAAAACTTAGATTGGACATTTTCTACTTGGGTTACTACGGTACACAGACAGCGAGTAATTTAATGACTTCATATATATTATGTTTAACACCGTATACTAGCTATACGCATATATGTATTTGTGGTATCTCTATCCTACAAGCAACCGACTCGTTATCGGCGGGTCCGTAACCGTATCCGTAAACTTTTTTAAGATTCTTTGAGCGCTCGGAATCGAACGGACACGTCACGTGTTACGTACTAGTGTCCTGTATTCCGGGCGTGCAGTTGACAAACGATATATCGTCGATGGCGATATCGGCCGGATTGACGGTCGAGGCGGAATGATTAGTGTACGTGGCCCCTTCAAACACAAACTAAAGAAGCACGAGAGAGAAAAGAAACTGTCGCAGCGAGAGTGATTTAGAGCACATTAAAAACAACTCTAATCATAGACAATAAATTCACCGATCATAGTCTCGTGATTATATAGTCGCATTTTCATCCGTAACAAGATCACCGCTTACGAACATATCTGTTCACGCTCTAATTAGTGTATAGTAGTTATAGTATACTGACATTGTAGCCTGCAGGTACTCTGCCAAGTTCGATGGTCTCTTTGTTCCACACATTGCCCAGGTTTCCAAATTTGTAGAATATTTCTTCGGCTATCCCGTAGTCAGAATAGTTGGCCAACCACAAGGCTACAAGGGCTATCGAGATCAAAACACCACATCAGCTGATATGTTTAAGGACAAGCATCGATCGACTGTTAATATTTTTCTGGATTAGATATAGCTTCCTAGTTATGGTAAGTATTACACCCATTCCTACTCAAATCCATCCCAAATTCCAAATATAACTTTTTCCTTAATCTTCATCCGAACAAGTTCACACATCTATATCTTAAACCCAACCCATACCAAAGTTGAGTCCTCTCAGACATATCACATCACACCAATCCCACCCTCGTTTCGCCGTCGCATTTAACCATCGAGCCATCCTATCTTACCCCGACGTAAAACCTCACCACACCCAATGTTCACCCAACTTCTACCGACACTCCACAGCCCCACCCAACTCTAATCAACCACACCCCACCAAACAACCCTCCCTCACCCTATCGGCCATTTTACACTTACAGCTTGCACTGCTTGCGCCGTTCATGTGATAGTAGAACTCAATGTTACAAGTCACTACCGTCTGCTGTAGAGGTTTGGATTCCATGAACGCGTAGGTGTACTGGATTCCCGAGTTGTTGCCATCCACAATCATGAAATGACCTGCGAGAAACACGAACGCATTTTTTACGTGCGGTATGTAAGCTAGATGTCTATACATACTATCAAGAGTGAATAATAATAGATTATTATTCTATTATCTATTATTATTCTATATATATTATATTTTATCATATATATATATAATATATATATATATTATGTTATATTATATTATATATTATATTCTTATTCTATATTTATTATTATTCACTCCTGATACTATGCGCGATTATGACGTCGTTATGTTCGCCCATATAGACGTACGTACTATAATAATTACGATAACATAAAGGTCAATGCAAAATGTGCGCGCATTTTATTCGCATACGCACAAGTGTGCTAATTGCTAATGCGGCGCGCGTAAAATTTTAGACGAAGGAAGAACATATATAATAATCTAATAATATTAGCATACAACACTTGTGTGTATATGGTGACGTTAAATAGACCGTTTCATACAGCGGTTTGTCTAACATTTACTAATTATATCTATTAACCTTTGCCGAGTCGGCAGCATTTCCTACCAAAAAATCCGGCCCGTTATTTGCTCAGGTGCAAGGAAAATAACCGAATCTCTGTAAATAGCTCTACGATGTAGATATCACGCAGTGAACTAAACATTTCCTGACAGTCTAGCGTGTCCACGTACGCCAGCGTGCTGTAGTATAGCTAGTAATGCACTCACCATCACCAGTACCGAGGGTGTGGTCGGTGGGTGGACCACTGATGGCTGGTGAATCCTTTGCTAGCCATCGCTCCCAGATATAGCGTCCGCCACTGAAGTCCGACCATCCGCAATATCCACTTTCAAACGTACACGCACCTAGATAGGAACATAACGGGAATCTCATTATTTATTATTTTTATCTTATAATAGTCCATTTGGGAATATGTGTATACACATATATATATATATATGTGTGTGTGTGTGTGTGTGTATATACTAATGTTGTAAATTTGTTATTTGCAGTTTTTCGAAAGAAGATGTAGACAGTAGATGTAAGAAGTCTGGAGACGATCACGTAGTTCAGGATTATTCAAGTCATAGTGCTTACCTGGCGACAGAGCTCCATGCATGATTATATTTACATATTAGGTGCGTTCACACTGGCGCGAATTAGCGGGCTGCAAAACCCGGTTTTTGCAGCCCGCTCGAAAAACTGAGCTTTTTACAAGTGTGAACGCAATTAGCTCACTAAATCGCCCTCAAAATAGCGCGCTGCAAAGAACACTTCCGACTGCACTAATTTGGAATCACCGCGCTTATTTGCACCGCGGCGTGATATTTGCACCGCGGCGATTAGCGAGATATTCGCCTGTGTGAACAACGACACAATTAGCTCACTATTATCTCCGCTATTAGCGGGCTGAGCAGCGCGGTTTTTCTTGTGTGTGAACGCGCCTATTGTACAATTGCATATGCGTATATTATACAATGCATACAATCAAGAGCTCATAATAGAGATGATACAATGCATACAATACATATGCATACAATACATACAATGCATACAATGCGTATATTATACAATTGCAAATGCTTAGTGGTTTTTTTGCGCGTGTACTGTAACGCAGTGACCGCGCGTAAGTATCGCAGTGTACAGCCTTGCGTAAGCGTGTTTCTTTCTTAGTTCTATCTCTATAGCCATTCATTCTACCCCGGGAAGATTTTTGGTCACAAGAAACGTATGGCGGAGCGAATGGGCTATAAGTATAACCGTAGAGCTTCGCACGCACGCAGAGAATATTCTCTCGTGCTAGAATATTTACCGCATTCGTCTTCGTCGGAAGCATCGGCACAGTCGCTGATGAAGTTACACACTTTCTCCCGTGGGATACAAGACGTGTCGCCTACACACATGAACTGTTTGCCGGGGCAGGGCGTTGGAGTGGGAGCCGGCGTGGTTCCGTTCACTATGCTAGCTGGTGCGTGTCAAATTTAAAAAATAAAATCACACAATAACTTAAATATGACCGCACATACACGAGAGAAAACAACACGGATTATATGTTTTACGCGAAATAAACACTTAGGGATTTAAACTTATGGATTTAAAACTGTGGCTTTTTGATTTCTCGAATACGCGCGGATATTATTTATCGCTTGAATACAATGATTGAATTCGTTTGTTGTATTGCGCCTGCCTAAAATTTTATTAAGTAGTTTTTTGACTGAAATATATCACACTATTTAGTCACATTCTAAGAATTGCAATGTTCAAATCATATATACTGTAGCATCCATATTCAAGAATCATTGCTATTACTGGTGGTTTAGTTACTGCGAAAGCTTACTGTCGGATAGTTTGCAGTCCGGTGTGAAGGAAACGTCGTCAATGGCTGCCACGCCATTGGTTTCGTTGCCTAGCACGCCTTCAAAAATAATCTGCAATGCATGCAGAAGTGTGTTATTTGGTTGCAAATAATATATAAATTCCCAAAATTCCAATAATTTAGTTGGTAATAAGATTCGAGCTACAGTGATATCCAGAGCTGTCGCGATAATACGTAGGCCTATGCTTATCGAAGTTTGTAATTGTGCGCGTACGGGCCCATACAGAAACCTAGAACAGTAAACGTGAACAGGTATATCACGCATCTTATCCATGCAACTGTCATCAAGCTTGCTTTTTTAAATAGTAACCGAGTTATCAACTTACATGGTCTACGTCATCGTCTCATGTTTATATGTTTATGTGCTTATATATATTATATTAAAT